TCAAATTATAATAAAAAATACTAATTTATAATATACATATATATAATAATAATAATAATATTATTATTATTATTATTATTATTATTAAAATCAACTCCTATTAGAAAAAAAAATCACTGAAAAAATCTTTAAAATAAAAAATAATTTACGAGATCAAATTTTGGATTTAGAGTCAATTGGATGTTGAAAAGGAATTGATACTATGTCGTAAAAAAAGTTATTTTTAATTAATTAAGTAAAATATTTATTTGTTCTCTGAATTAATTAAAATTAACTATGATAATTAAATATATTTTATTTAACAATTGTATTTATTTTATTTAAATTAAAACTAAAATCATTAATTTTATTATAAAAAAGAGTTAATATTTTTTTTTGGCTCAACAAGAATGAGTTTTCTCATCCCACGTATCTTTATGTGAAATAGATTAGAGTCACATACCTCTTTTTTTTTTAAAATAAAAATAAAAAATCATGTGTTGATATTTTTTAATTTTTTTGATAAAGATAAAAGAAAAATTGTTACAAAGATATTCGACAATAGGTCAAACATAGATATGCATACTTCTAGCTATCACCACCCCTTCCCCTACCTAATTATGGTATTTTTTAAATTTAATTTTACTTTTATTAAATTTAATATTTATGAAGCATTACAATTCATATCTTCTAAAATATAAAATTGATAAAGATATACACCTGAATCAATTCAATAAGACATTTTAATTTAATTTTAACATTTTTAAAAGAAAATATTAAAATATCAAGTTGTCACGACTTTTATTTTAAAATTTTATGATTAAGATGTAAATCAAATTAACCATTTTTCTTAAAAAAAATATTATAATACTTTTAATTATTTGTTAAGAATTTTAGTAAAATTCTTATTATTAATGATATTAATTTTTACTAAAAAGAACTTTACTAAAATTTATAATATATAATATGAATGTATGGGCTTTGTAAACGAGATCGGCCCATGCACAGCAAAAGAAAAAGAACGATTGCTTATGGATCAACCCACAAGTTAAATTATATATATATATTTCTCTCTTGGTATTTTCAGGTTTTTAATTATAAATTACTTGTGCTTTCTGTGGTCTTGACAAATTACTTGAAGCCAGACACAGATTCAAACAAAGGCTTATAGTCTAAATCCTCTTTTTTTGCATCCTGTTACATTGTATGATTGTGTTCTTTTTGGACAAAGAACAAGACTAGATAGCATGCTCTGCAATCCTGTATTTTTGTGCGTTTTCATCTGATGTTATTCCAGAACTAAAACGAGAAAAGGAAATCAAAGAGATACAACATTATCATATACAATATAGTAAAACTATGCGCAAAAATAATACAATGATCAATGCTCATTCCATAGGTACTGTACAATTAAACATAGATTTCATCCTACATAATGTTCTTGATATCTATCATTGCATTTTTTATAGATTCACATTGCTTAATTTTCTTTCATCCTAAATCTTCTTTCACACAAGATAACACCCTCTTGAAGATGATTGGCATTTGGCGAGGGTGAAATAATTCAAGGGCTTACAACTACACAGCTTCACCAATACAGCATTTTATCTCATTCAAATTCTGCTGTTCAGAATTCATATGTACCTATATTACATTTTTACGAATCAGAATGAAATAAAGATTTTAGAATACATAAAATGCCAGATTAGGCTTCCCTCATTCAAATGTGATACTTAATCAAAATTTAAACGTTGAAAAAAATTTCATAGAGTGGAACCATTTGGCACCTCTCAGACATGTAAAATAAATCCACGACCTATAAAGGTCAATAACCCTCAATCCCTATCAGGCCTATAAAGAATATTTTAGAAATGTAACCGGCAGATGTGCCGTGCAACTAGCAAAATTTTAAGGCTGAGAACTAAATTGTCTTTGGCTTAAGTCGCTTCACCCTTGAATACAGGAAAACACCGGCAAGAGCTATAGCAGTCCCTGCAGAGGAAGAACACATGAAATCTCAACAAGAGGTATGAAGGGTGGTGGTTAAAAAAACTATAAAGCACTGAAAGAGCTAGAAAAAAGCAAATTTACCAATTGCGTTGATTGGCGATACAGGTGTTTGGAAGAAGATGACAGAGCTCACGATGACCACAACCCTCTTCACACAATTTCCCACAGAGTGGGTAACAGGTGACACCTTCTGCAGTATCATATAAGAAACCTGCGCAGCACAATCACAGAAAATAATTCGTACAGAGAAACTATTATATAAAAGAACCACGGAAAATATATGATATGGCTTCAGATAAATTAAGTTTTCTTTTAGAGGTTCTTATAAGTTGGTAACAAAGAGTAAGCTCTCTATTCATTCTCGTACCTCGACTTTCCTTTTTCCATTTATCATGATCTTATATCAAAAAGATTCCACTCCCATTTTCGTTTGGCGTTGGGCGCTCAATTATTCAACAATGACAGGTTATTCCTTAACAAGCACACAATTCTCGATATGAACCTAGCTAAGTAAGAAGTGTTTCTAATTTCATTAAAAATGGTCAGAAGCACATTAAAAAGTGGACATGCAGCAGTCCTAATATCAAGTTACTTTCAACAATGAATTCAGATCATTCTAACATGAGTTATATTATTTTTAGGTGCATTTTGTATTTTTGTATAACATGTTTGTACAACTTAATTATTCTCTTATTTCTCACCATCATATTACTAATTTTATCCCACGCTTCTCATTCTCCTTCGCTTATATATTTCTTTGTAGTAAAAATATAGTACATAAGTATGGTACAAATTGAGCTTCTCTTCCAACATTTATGTGCTGTCTATAAGATTGTGAGAAAACAGAACAGGTCAACAGGCAAAAAGTTACATCATTCATATTACGTTCTACAACACTATTGTTCTCGTTACAGTTGCTCGTTAAATCAATCGTTTCATATCACACTTATCTCTCTTCCCTTTCCATTTGTCTTTTTCTTTACAATAAAAGTTATTGCACAAATACAATTTGTCGCACACAAGTACCTTTCTCTAGTGGAATGACGTAGAATTCAAGCAAATAAAATATCTCACAGCATAGTAGTCATATTGTCTCTAAACATCAAAATAAATCCAAACCATGTCAATAAAAAGTTTTGTACACCATGCTAAGATACCAAAGATGCCAAGAGTAAAAATCATTTCATATGAAAGTAATTACTTTTTTAGTTTTGTTTTCGGTAAGTAACATATACTGAAGTTTAAATCTAACGGTCACGAGAAGAAATGTTGAAGACCGGAACTAGCAATAATTTTGAATAAAAGGGGGACAATTGTGCAAAGAGGAAAACTCACTTGCTGATATGCATGGAAACATAGTGCAGCAAGTAGAGATCTGATGAACACTTCGTTAACGTTTAATCCCTGTACAGAAAAGTGATATGATGACCGATTAGTAGCCTCAACAGTCGCCATAATATATTTCGATTTTGGGAATGCTAACAGAAATCCTATCAATTTCAACCATCAAGAATTCAAAACACTCACAGCGGATTGCAGGTAAGTAGGCGTAAATTTGACACCCTCCATGAGAAGGGTTACTGGTGCTGATAACAAGAAGGACATAACTGTTATTATTGAGAAGAGCGTTATGTTGTCCATAGATTCCTGAGAAGAACAGAGAGTCTGTTATTTTCTGCTTGTTTTAAAACACGAAATATAATATAGGAGTGTCATAAAAAATGCTACTTATACTTATTATAACCAATAAAAAAAAATGTAAAACTTTGAGACGTGTTCGTAGATCATATTACCTCCTTGTTAACCATGAGTTTTTTGCTGAGAACATTACGAGATTGATTTGTCAAATTGGAAGCCATAGCACTCCAAAATCCAGCCCTATTCAATATTCCAGAAAAGAAAATGCCACTTATTAGAACTCAAATGACCACGTATTTTCCTTACAAATGGTTGTATTTCCTCTCTTTTCTCCCCCTTTCATGGAATCATAGCTACCAGCTACCCAATTCATGTAGATATGCAATTCGTTACTTTTTACATTATTATTATTAGAGGACTTCTTTTAAAGAAAATCCAGTATACAGTACATTATACGAAAGGTTTTAAAACACTGTCTGGCCAACAATTATACGATCATAGTTGCAGCTTTATGATCACATTTGTTCACAATTTCCCAAGTTATCAAGGACTGCAATAAAAATATAACAACTACCGCAATTTAAAACCCTGATTCGACGATAAATTGAGTATGCAACAGGGCTATTGAGAGAATTGTGTAATTATCAATGGAACAAGACATCAGACAAGCAGTGCAGGAGAGGTTACCAATTGAAAGAAGCCTCCGTAGCAGACGCGAGCGCCACCCCACCAACAATAGGCACAAGGGAACCAACCACCCATGCAGTAGGATTCTGTAAGAAAAAGAAAAAATCATAACAACCAACAATAATTCATGGTGATCATAAGACCAACAACAATTAATAATAAAAAATCATTAGGATAGAATATTATACTAAAGATAGTAAGATATAAGTCTAATTCAACCTTACAAAACTGACTTATAATAAAAATTGTTCCCCATTTGTATACTATATTGGCTATTCTGGTAGGAGATGTGAGATTTTGAACACTATATCATTAGTAGGTGTGAGATCTCGAAGACTATATCACTAGTTGAAGTGAAATCATGAACAGAATTGACGTTGCATTGAAGGGCATATGATATGATCATATGATGTAGAAACTAACCTCTCCAAGGAACATAGCAGAAAGGATGACAGAAAAGAAAGGCTCCATGGCTTTTATGGTGTGAGTGAAAGACACAGCCACCTTTCCAAGACTCATGTTGGTGAAAAGGTTCCCTAAAGTATGGACGACAGCCAGAGGCAATATCGCTGCAAGCTGCAAGCAGATAAACAAACCACACATAAAACAGAAACAGAGGAAACAGTGTTACATGAGAGCAAGACAAGGATGAAGCATTAAGTACCTGGGCGCCACTGACTTTAGGTCTCTTGTAGAGATTAAAACCCCACATGAAGGCCACGAGGAGAGCCCCCACAGCGAACTGAATAGTGCTTACGGTTAAAGGGAAGTGGTAAACCTTCAAAACCTGTTTGTTGTAGATGTTGAAGTATATGTTGAAGAGGAACCAGAAGACAAACAGGACCCCTAGTTCCAGGATGTTGGCGGCGGAGGAGTCGGCGGAGCTTCTCTCCGGCACGGAGGCTGCTCTGCCTCTGGCATGGAGGGAGCGAGAGGGAGGGAGTTTGAAAGAGATAGAAGATGAAGCGAGAGAGCATGGTTGGCATGGAAAGGAAGAGGAAGAGGAAGAGGGAGTGAGAATAACATTGAGTTTGGAAGCGGAAGAAGCAGAGACACGGGTGTGGGGTTTGCGGAGGAGAGAGAGGGAAGGGGAGAGAGAGAGAACGGTGCTCTGCATTTTCGAGATCGCAACTATGGTTGACCGTTGCCCAGGAGGGAACTTTTAACGCTGCATTTTCAACCTCATAATAATATTCATGCATCTCCTTCTCTTTTCTTTTACCTATTTTTTCTCCCTACCTCACTATTTTTTTTTTCTTTTTAGATGTTTAGTTTTTTTCCTAATAAAAATTGATGCTAATAAATTATGAAATAATGAAGAAGAACAACGACTGGAGGATGAATCTGGATTCAAATGTGGGATATTCCATTTCTAACGATGGACAATTATGCTAGTACGATAATAATGCTTTCCTATTTGTCCTGTTATAGTTGCCTTCCTTTCTTAATGGAAACGGGTCAGATTTGGTCCTCAATAAATACTTAAATACTAGGAATAAGCTTTCCTTTTACGAGATAAATTTGTCTATATCCACAGTGACTCAGAACACACAAAAGTGTGCATGCCAATATTTTATTGACGATAATACTATAATATTTATTTATTTATTTATTTATTTATTTATTTATTTATTTATTTATTTATTCAATATACATGAACTGGAGAGATGGACATTCGTAGCTGTTTATATTAATTATACGTATGGGAAAATGGATTGACAGATGAGAATGATAGGGAAAGCGAAAAATAGCGAGAATTTTTATTTTTATATGTTAAACTAAATGTTTATAACATTTTAAATAATATTTTGCATTTATATAAAGTAATTATTTATACTTTTCTTACAATTTTCGGAAAAATTAATATTTAAATTTTAATTAAATTTAGAAATATTCGTAAAACTTGCATGAGAGCATGCTGGTTTTTGGCCTGGATGTTTGCACGAGGACAGGAACCGGAAGTAAAGTATGACTTTAGAGAAATTCTATGGTACCCATCTTATTTGAGAGGGTACCGGTACAGTTTTTTATATTTTATATTTTTAGTAATTTATTTAAATAATATTTATAATATTTTATCCTTTCAATTTTTAAATTATTTAGTCATTTTATTTTTATTTTATATATTCTAATTTATTTGTAATAATATTATTATATATTTAAATAGTTTAATTTTAATAATTTTTTAAGTATATTTTTATCTTTTCACTTAAAATTTTTGAATTTTTATATTTTAATTTTAATAATTTTTTAAGTATATTTTTTGTCTTTTTGTCTTAAATTTTTGAATTTCTATATTGTAATTTTAATAACTTTTTATTTCTACTATTTATTAATTTTTTCTTTTTCTTTAATATTTTATAATATTATTGAAAACTTATAATTTTAATCTTTATAATTTTATCTTACTTTTTATTTTATAAGTATAATTTAGATTATTTATTTTATAAATAAATTAATTTTTTTAAAAAAATTTTATGAATTTACATAGAAAAATGTATTGAAACCCTTCCATCTTTGAGGGTACCGTAGCAACTCCCATGACTTTATTACATGGCCACTTTCTATCCAAATGGGGATGAGGTAGCTAGGTGGTAATGCTTTATGATTTTTTTTAATTAGGATATTTTTTGAAAAGCTAAAGGATTAAGGGTGGGCACTGGGCACCCAAATGGAAGTTCAGTTTTTATGGAATGTTGCATTTGTGTGTTTGCTAATTTTTTTTTTAAGTTTTTTTAAATTTTATTATCTTCAAAACGAAAAGCAACACCTTTGTTGCTTCTGTACAATGAGAAGTTTCATTTCTCAGTTCTTCTTTTCTATTCTACTTAGTTCAGTCTTGTATTCATTTCTATTTAATTTTTTAATAACAAAAAATTATTAAAAATAAGCTTAACTAATAATATTAATATCAAAATATAAAATAATAATAATAATAATAAAGTTTTTTCATCAATTTAAATATACCAAAAATAATAAAATAAACAATATTATTATCATTACAAAATATATACTCATTTTAATAATTATATGTATGAAATTACTTTTCATTAATATTATCCAATTGAATCCAACTGTGAAATTCTGGCTTGCAACATTCTTACTATGCCGTCAATAATATTTGGTATAGAATATTTTACTTTATTCCAAATTTGATCTGTGTGATTGTTGTCTCATTTGTCGTTGCAAGATGACAATCAGTGGCAGCCGAATGACTCGCAACAACATGATTTTCTACAATATTTTAATTATTAGATTTTTAAAGAAATTGATATTAGAGAATATTTATCATTTAATTTTAAAATTGTACATTGTTCAAATCGAATGTTAAATAACTGATTGAGCTTCTTTGAATTTCTTATTTTGATTGGTCTATGTTGATTTTATATTTTTTTCTTAGTTTTCCTTAATATTAGTATTTTAATTTGTGCAATGTGCAAAGTAAATATTTATTATATGTATTAAATATTATAATAAGTAAAATATACAAATAAATATTATGTTTGAATATATAAATTATATTTGCATGCTAATGGACAATTCAAAGAAGAAGAAAAGCATTACCACACCACCTACAAAGAGGCACTGGCTGTGAAGAATGGAATCAAGAAGTTTGATTTCCACCTGCGAGGATATCACTTTGAAGTTCAAATGGATAATTCTTCCTTTCCCAAAATCTTGGATTTCAAGAACAAGTTACCACCAGAACCTCAAATCTTAAGATTAAAAGATTGGTTTTCCAGGTATGATTTTATTGTTAAACACATCAAAGGAAAACATAACCTCATTCCTGATTTTCTTTCAAGACCACAAAAGCCAGTTTTGGTCATCTCATCCTCCTATAGCTTTCCACTGATTTTCATGGCAAAACCTCTACCTGATACAGCAAAAACTAGAAAGCTATATCCTCCTGGTTTTAAACCTAACAGTCCTGAAGAGATTATTCAATTCGCCAGATCTCATTATTTTTATTATCTTCATGAGACTTTAAGGTTTAAAGTAGTCCCTCCAACCATGTTTGATCCTACAGAAGAACATCCCGGAATATTTGAATTATTCTGTGAAATTGGTTGGGATTTATGTGAGCCAACTCTTTGGGCTATATGGTGCAAAACTGTCCAAAGTCCAATTGCAATTGCTTTGAAGGTACAATCAGCTTACAATATTCTGATAAATCCAGATAAAGCAGAATTTTTATTCTGGACCTTATTAGAATGGTTTTCGCCTCTCCCATGGTGGAGAAGTGAGTTAAAAAAGGTTCTCGATTTCCAAAA